CTTAAGTATATTGTTGTGACGGTTGATGGCAGAGGAACCGGATTTAAAGGTCGTGAATTCCGTATGTGTGTAAGAACTCGATTAGGCGAATTTGAAGCAAAAGATCAAATAAGTGCAGCAAAATATTGGTCAACATTACCTTATGTTGATAAAAATAGAATGGCTATTTGGGGATGGTCATTTGGTGGATTTGTTACATCTAAAGTTATTGAAGCCGATTCTGGTGCATTTCAAATCGGAATAGCTGTAGCTCCAGTAATTGATTGGAGGTAATTTTATATTAATTGTAAAATTTATATTTTTTTTAATTTTATTGATTGATTATTATTAAATATTATTTTTATAGATTTTACGATTCTGTATATACTGAACGTTATATGAAAACGCCGGAATTAAATCCTAATGGTTATGAGCTTAGTGCAGTAACTAATATGACTGGATTTGATAATGCAAAATTTTTATTAATTCATGGAACTGGTGACGGTAAATATTCCTTTAATATAATAATAATAATATTATAAAATGATAATTAAATACTTAATAATATGATATTTATTCTTTTGTGTGCGTGTATATATTATAATATAATAGATAATGGTAAGTGTCGATATTAAGATATAATCATATAATTTACCTTTTGCTTTAAATTATTTCTTAGTTTGCTAACAAATTTTAATCTTCGATTTCTAGTACACTTTCAAAATTCGTTAAGTTTAATCGATCGTTTTACACTTGCATCAGTACATAATTATCGAGTACAAATTTATACAGATAGTGATCATTCAATTCAAAAACATAATGCAAATCGCGAGGTAAATTATTAAAATTTACAAAAAAAATTTAAATTATTCAACAATTATAAAATAAAGACTAATTATAACATCCAATATCTTATTTTCTCCAGCTCTATTATTTAATAACTGAATATTTATGGCAAAATTTTGGTTCAAGCGAACATCACCATTAACACTATAATAATTATAGAATAATAATCAGCATGTATACATATAATTCATTCATACGTACACACACAAACATTTATAAGTTTTTGATTATTTTGTATATTTTTTTTACTTGTAAAAAATAAAAACTTTTTAATAGTAAAATATAATAATATTATTTTTATTTATATGGTAATGTTTATACATAAAACGCCAAAAAAAAAGCACTGCTTTCTTGGAATTTTAATATGGTTTTTTTAAAATTATTTCTCTTTAATTAAATGCATATATATATATATATTATTATAAATACTTTTTTTATAATTAAATAAAGAAAAAAAAAATCAATATATTTAAATTAAAGAAAATAAAATCATTCGGGATTTGGGGTAGTTGGAGTAGAATATTTTTCGATGGTTGGATGAAGTGCAGTTAAATTTCCATAATCTTTAAAATCTTTATGATGATTATTTATATCGATGGGTGAAGATGTGGTGGCTGAATCATCATCCAAGATGGTATGATTGTGATTATTATTATGATGATGGTAAATTCCTTGTTTGAGATTTACTTGAGGAAAAATGTATTTTTGTTGATAAAAACATTGAGGAGATTGTTGCCATTGCCAATATTGATGACCGTTGGGTGGATTGGAGGCTTCAACTATGCTGTGCATATATTTCACGTATAGACTATCAACAAACTCTTGAAAAACTTACGGAATACAAATGCCTCTCAATCGAGGATTGTTCTGTACTTATAAAATATCTATTTTTATAATAATATCGATGATATTTTAATTAACTTATATTGCTATTGGATGTGCAACAACCATTTTCGCATATAAAAATAGAAATATTTTTTTTAGGGAAAAAGGTTATACTATTAATTAATACATACATTAATTCACGGCTATAATCAATCGCGCTTATCTTGCCTACCACTTCCCATTCACCACTAGTAAGGAATTGCGGTTTGGATGAATCAAGGGTAGAGAACAAAGCTATGTGATCATAACCGTTGTTACTCATAATATCTAAATATGAATCAGATTTAATGCTACCAATGGGTTTGATGTAAATCATACTCTTTGTCTATTTAGGATGAGGAAAAAAAAATTTTCAATTAAAAAAAAAACAACAACAATAGCAATGGCAATAGCAATAACAATAATAATATTATTAGTATTACATACAATTTCAAACCATCCATTATCTGTAACGGCAGTACTTTCTTCACGTACTGCTTTCCCTTTTAATTTCCTTGCATCGACAAGTACAGTCCTTTGAATATCTTGAATACGATTCATAACTCTTACTAGTAATTGATCATCACCGCACCATGCAAGTTCTGTTATTAGTTTATTATCTTCCTTGAAATCATTTTCAATCACGACTGGTCCCGACTGTGCTACTAACGGCGTATCTAAATGATATATGTAAAGAGCCACAGTAGGATTTGGATAACCTGGTTTCGGATATCTCATAACAAAATCATTTGGATAGGGACCAATATGATGATTGTCGTTATATAAAGACAAATGGAACTCTGGTACTTCACTATCGTTTAATCGAAGGTATGCAATTCTTTTGCCACTAGTAGACCACCATGTGGCAATATTACTTGCGAGTACTTCCTCTAATCAAAATAAATAAATAATAAATCAATTAAAAATTCATGCTTGACATTTATTTATATAAATATAAATATAAATATATCACCTTCGTAAACCCAGTCCGGTATACCATTGTAAATAATATTTGATCCATCAAAAGTAATACGTCTTTCTTCGGTCAATCCAACTAATAAATATAAATCATTGTCTCTTACATATAACTACAAAATCATAAAGTTATCAATTACTAATATTCCTATAGAAAAAAAGCCGTTAAATGAAACCTTACAATATCATGGCCAACAGGGCTCCAAAGTGCAATAGACAGTAGCGGATAATCTGATGAATTTTCAAATGATTTGACCAACGGTGTTACTGTTTTTGAAGTTGTATTAAAAACCCAAAAATTGGCAGTGTATGAATGACGCCAACCCTAATAATTAATTAAATTTTATTCAGTAAACGATCTATATATTTTGTTTTATTTACATATCAAAATAATCTTTACCTTTGTTCTATTTGTCTCAAGTAAAATGTACTGAGAATCTCCTGAGACTTTAAATGAAAAATATAGTAGAAAATCGCCATAGGGCTATAAATTTATAATTATAATATAATATAAACATATATTATTAATATATTTACTTTTTACATAATTTTCATAAATCTAATTATAATAATAAAGTATGGTACGAACATCTTTAAGGTCTTCGCCTTTGGCCAAAAACACCTTCTTTGATTTATCAGCTATATGTTTCAAAACTATATTACTTAGTTCATCACGATATATAAATGTTCCATCATCATCGCCTGTTTATTATACATACATACACAAATTGTACAATCAGGTTAGAATTATAGAATATATGTATTAAATGTCAAGAAAACTACTTCAACATACCAACAGTACTCCATTCCAGATCATACGCGCTGGGATAAAAGCTTCCATTGTAAATATCATCGAATTGTAAATGATTCGGTAATTCAGAGGCACCACTTGATCGATAATATGCATACAATATAGCAGAACCAACCCATGCAAGAATAAAAACAGCAGCAATCACCAAACATGGGACCAATGATCTCTCAGCTTTCTACGGTTAATAATGATGATAATAATTTATAATTTATTTTTTTAAAAAAATAATCCATCAGGAGAGAAGACCTTAATGATAAAACTTACATCTTTTTTTTCATAACCACTTTCCCAACCTTCGTCCATATTTACAACTGTTTCATCTTCATCTCTTTCTCTGTCATTAAGCATATTGTTCCTTTCACTATCATCATCACCATCAACCTCTCCTAATTCTTCTTCAGAATTTTCATTTTTATCACTTTCTTTCAAACTTGTGGAGCTTTCTTGTTGTTCGAACTCGGAATCTTTTGATGGTACTGAATCGTATTCTTTTTTTAACCTCATGTTTTTTTTAGTTTCTTCAAGAAAATTAAATTGATTTTTATTTATTTATTTATAAAATACATTCGTTCTATTATGCGAGTAAAAATGGTAAGCGACCAAGCCACTTTTAAGCCAAGAAGGTTGATACTAAGCCACTTTTTACAAGGCGAGTTTTTCCTAGTTACTCTTAATATATTAAGAAGCTAAGAAGCAAGCTGTTCTGACGTTTGTTTTATCTTTTTCCTCAAGTTAAAATTTAAAAAATTAGATTTACCATTAAAAAAAGAATTAGATTTATATCAATAATTTTTTTGTCTTATAAAAAACACAGTCGTACCAGAACCATTTATTTACATTCACTATCATCATACTGTACATCACACAAAAAAATCTTAAAAAAGAATTATTATGACGAAGAGGAACAGCGACAATTCAAAAGATAAAAAAAAAAAGAATCAACTATACTAATTTATTTATAACAACAATTAAGTTTCAAAAAGTTGTCCGAGGATAATGGCAAATAAATAATTTAAAAAATACGTGATTCTAAAAATTAACTAATTACTTGTTAACAAGTAAACCTTATTACACTAAATCAGGAAGATCCAAATCCTCCCTATAGCTAATTGTGGCTTCATAGAAAGT